AAAAACCAGACATTTGCAGCTAGAATAGACATTTACCACATTAGCAATGTATAGAGTGTATTTCTTTAAAGACTAGTTTAAAGTTATCTTCATTGAAAAGTAAAGTGCTTTTCCTTCAAAAATAAGGACATTTCAATGTGACCCCAAACTTTTGAACCGTAGTGTGTATATATGTATATATATCTCAAGTTTCCGACTGTTAACTGCAGGCCGTTCTATCTGCCCAGAGAGTTCATTGTGGTTAGCATCACTGCTGTTTATGTGCCCCCTAGCGCTAACACTAAAGAGGCCATGAAGACTCTATACCAGGCTATCTCTGAGCTCCAGTCTGCACACAGAGGGTGTTTTTATCATTGCTGGGGATTTTACCATGAAGAATGTTCTCCCTCATTTTTACCAACATGTGGACTTTGCAACTCGGGGTGAAAACACTTTAGACCTGGTTTACTCTGACATCAAAGATGCATTCAGAGCAGCTCCCACCTCTGGTCATCAGACCCATCTGACCTATCTGTCATGCTTATCCCTGCACACAAGCCGCAGCTGATCAGGGCTAAACCGACAGTTAAAGAGGTCAGAGTGTGGTCTGAGGGCGCCATGGAAACGCTCCAAGACTGTGTTGAATGCTCTGACTGGAACATCTTCAAGGCTGCAGCAACATATAATAACTTATTAAATATTGATGAGTATGCCATGACTGTGTCAGCATACATCAACAAATGCATTGAGGACATCAGCATCAAATAGAACATCACCACCCGGGCCAACCAACCACCCTGGATAAATAGAGAGGTTCAGAAATCACTAAAAGCTCCGAACTCAGCTTCAAGTCAGGTGATAAAGAGGCACTAAGAACAGCGAGAGCCAACTTAAACCATCAGATCAGCGAAGCAGAACCACAGCCAGAAGATCCAGGATCTTTTCCACGATGACGGCAACACCATGAGGATGTGGAAGGGCATTCGGGTGATCACAGTAAAAAGGGCAGAAATAAATAGAGCGAAGAAATAACTAGGGTAAAAAAATATAAAGGAAGAATAAAACGGACAAAAATATTATAACATGCGCATAAATAAATACTTAAAAATATAAGTAATTAAAAAATAAAGTTGAAGATTATAAAGGACAAAAAATTAAATACCATAAATATTACAAAGGGAAATAAATAAAGAAGCTAATTAAAAGAGTTATATACTAGGGCTGCA